TATTGCGGCCGTTTGTCTTTCAATGCTCGGCTCAAACGCATCAATTGCGTTCGATACCGATCGCCTGTGATTGTTTCAGTTGGTTTTAACAGCTCATAACACACTACGCCGAGCTGGTCCCACCAAATACAGAGCATGACCTTGGAGACGTAAATATTCGGTTTGGTCGTCGACGTGGAAGCATGGCCGGGAACTCCCCATGATTTTCTGCGCTTGGGGTTATCGTAATGAACCCATTTTGCGTCCCCAGTCACAATGCGATACAGAAATCCCTTCCGTCTTTGCCTTTCAAGCAGCTGTTCACAAGCAAACAAACGCCGTTCAACATCTCTCGGCTTCTCGTACGGCACCCAATTTCCTTGCTTCTGAATCATTCCCATGGCTTTGAGGCGTTTTGAAATGGCTTATTGAGTCACTCCCAATGATCGTGCCAATTCTTCTTGATTTTGACACGAGTTTTGGTCAAGTAATGCCTCCAATTCTGCAACTTCGAAAACCTTCTTTCTTCCACCACTATGCCGGTCTTCAACGTCAAAATCACCGTCTTAAAGCGTTGAAACCACTCACGGCACGTTCTTTCACTAATAGCGGCCTCACCATAAGTATTTGAGAGCATTCGATGAGCCTCAGCCGCAGATTTCTTAATATTGAAGCAGAAAATTAAAACCTCCCGCAAATGACGAGAATTTGGTTCGTAAACTGACATTTTCAATCGAGAATAACTTTATGATGCAGACACAAATCGACTAATGTTTCTATGGGGTTATGTTGACAGATGCCCAAGTTTATTATATGACGTCTATGATCTACATATTTATTTCGACCACCACTTACCGCTAAAGCCAACTATAGGAAAACGGCGGAAGCAAAGTTGTACACCTAATATTTATTACTTTATATACATATTTATCATTCTTATTCCTTAATAAAACTTTATAAACGCAATAATTTTATAAATTATTGTGTCATTTTATGGCTTATTTATATGCATTATTTGTAAATTTTTTATGAGCCGTACATACCCTTCCTCCCCCTATGGATAGCCGTATATCCCACCTCTGTAGAATATACGGCAAAAATGCAAGTTTCAAAAAGGCCTTTTATTAGTATGAAAAATAAATGTTTCGGATTTTTAATATTTTTGTCATAGCAGTAGACAGTATAAAGATTTTACTGATACAGTTCGTTTACTTTACATAGTAAATAATACTTAATAAATTAAGTTTTTGATAGGTGCGGCGTATATACCGGAGTCACTCTATGCTCTGACAAAAATTTTTTGGCCGATATTAATTGATACTGACCTTTTTGACTGATACTTTTAGCTGATATCGTATAGTCAAAACATCTTTCAATGTCATTGTAATATGCATACGATTCGTTGAGAGTACAGCAGATTTTTTCTAATTGTTAGTTTAATTAAGATACGTTGTATCGAGTATATGTTGACAAATGATTTCTGACAAGTTTCGGTAGGAGCACGCATGTGTACTGCGGACACGCGCATTTATCGGGTCTCGGACATACATTGAGAAGTATACACACGACTTCTGTATGGAATATTCATGTTCTCGAGAGTTGACTTGTTTATCATGATCGGAAGCTGAAACGTTGGGTTGTTCGCCAAGAGTAGCAAAGGGTGGGAGATGGCAGTTCGTTAGGCAATAATATATATCAAGTTGATCACGATAGCGAATATTAAATTTATTTGGCTAAGTTAAATAGAACACAAACTGTTAAAGAAAACAAATTTTTCAATTTCCCATATCTTTTTAATTAAATTATTTGGCTATGAAAAGTTATTGGCATTAAATATTTAATTTGTCATTTAAAACAGAATGAGAATGCAATGGATGAAACAAAAATAAATAAAATCTTAAAGTGGCTACTTAATTTGTTTTGCCACGACAAAAACAAATTAGATTGTTCACCAAATCGTAAATAAAAAATACTCCGATTTGGATAAATTTTGGTTTGCTAATTGTAAATTGATAGATACAACATGTGAATTGATAAGGGAAATTTTATCAGTTTTATCGATTTCCTAAAGATGTAAATCAAAGAATAGTCTTAGATTTGGAATATTCTTTGTTACAAAATGATAATTCGACTTATTTTATTCAGTGCACTACATTTCACATAAAAAAAAAAAGAAATTAGATGGAATATCTGTATATTTCCTCCAATTGAGAAAAAATAAACGATAAGCAGTAGCGATAGCGTTAGTGTTACGGAGAACGCATATATGTATATTGATACGACGAGCGCGTCAACGCATATTCATCTGTACAGACGATTTAATTGCCATCTCCAGATAAAACAATCCAATATCTTTGAAGAAGAAATGCTGTCTTAAAGCAACTAACGGTCAATTTCTGCGAATTATTAAGATTGCTTTGAAACAACTGTCATTTTTTTCGGCTACTGTCTCTTCCCTGATGAAAATCAGAACGTAAGTCGAACTGCGCTTTGGCTTAGCGCCGAGATACTACCAATATCTCCAGATGTAATAGGAGAATAACAAAAGCGTAAACAAAACTTCTAGGAAGCGAAAATTTAAACATCAAAATATAAAAGAAGCGTAAATGCTTCTTTTATATTTCATTGTTCCAATTTTCGCCTTTTAGAAGTTTCATTCACGCTTCTGTTACTCTTCCATTATATCCGATTTATGCTTCGATTTTTATTTTCATCAGGGTTGAACGTGTTGAGAAGATTTCTAGTCGCCAAAACAACCTGCATATCTTTCACAGCATAAACTTTTGTTGCCGTTAGTTTCGTACACGATAATATTCGCGCGAACACGTAGGTGGTTGAGTAGAAACATGTTAGGTGTGAGCCATGACAGGCAAAGACGCACCCTTTTTTTAAGAAATTCGATGGCTTACGGTGAACCATATCGTTACTTTCTGATAGCGTAGGTCGAGCCGTCAAGACGATGATAAACCGAGTTAAAATCTCGTGTAAATCTCTATCACACGCGTGTATGTGTAACACGCACGCACACCCGCGCTCCGTGCGATCGTGCTGGTGCTCCGCGCGCGCGTAGGAAAGCGAGAGAGTTTCGAAGACGGTCTTCAGTTTCGGTTAAGCGTTCATCGAAGAGAGAATACATCTCACACTCCGTCTCGGTCTCCACCTACGCCGTTCCCTCGTCGAGTCACGCCGAGGTTTCGGTTTCCGGCTTAAGTCTTCAGCATCCACCCACACCGTTATCGTTCCTACGGGGAGTGCGTGCTTAAAGGACTTCCGTTCTCCAACAATATGACTTGTCACTTCGGGACCGATCTCGGTCAGGATTACGAAAAAAACCGGTGGTGGAAATTCGAGGAACTTGAGAACGGTGCACAAATCTAGATCGAGAATAAAGAAGAGAAAAAAATGTGGAGCTTATTCGATGTCCTACTATGTGTCACGTGATAATGCGTATGATGTAAGGCGAAAAAGAAAAAGAAAGATAGAGAGAGAGAGAGAGAGAGAGAGAGAGAGAGAGAGAGAGAGAGAGAGAGAGAGATGCTATGATCATCGTTGCGACAACCGTTTATGGCAATTTCTTGGATTTTTTTATAAAACCTCTTTTCATATTAATGTCCATTGTGGCGTCTATAGGAACGGTAATACCTCTCTTGCAAAAGTGCCGATACGATTAGCGTATCAATGGTAATTGCTGCTTCGTAACAAAGGAAAAAGAGTGCAAAGTGCGGGAAAGGAGTGCGAAGAATTATTTTTTTCAACCAGAGAGGTTGATTTGGTCCATTCGTTGTTTATTTGCACGGACGCGCGATATACAAACGAAAAATGCCGAGAAAAAGAGGTCTTTCTACTCCCGAAGCGCGAACAGGTAAGACACATTTCAAATTTTGCACATGCTTCAATCTCTATTGTTTTTATCGCATTAAATTTGAATATATTCTCTTTTTTAACCCAATACCGTTTCTTTTTTCGCAATAAAAATATCAAAATTAAAATTTGTTAATTTTAGAAACAAAAATTGTATATACGTATATGTGGAATATATATAAAAATTATATATTATTTTTAGAGAAAAATATATTTCTTATAAATAATTTCTATTGTTACATTTTTTTGTGCGATTAAATGCTTATGGCGGTCTGAAAGTTTGTTTTGACATACGTGTTTGCTTGTACCGAAGAAATCCTGAAAGCTTCTTTTGAGAAATCTTAATACACACGGTAGCTTGTTCCTCGTCTTATTGGGTTAATAGATTCGTGGAATAAACTAGAGTCATCTAATATGTATCAAATTCAATTAGGCCTGTTACATAAAGTATCAAGAAGCTCCTAATAATCAGTGAAAACGATATAATTACTCCATAAATTCTACACGATGTTAGTTATAAGAAATCGTTAACCGATAAGGATTAGAAATGTTTTACAAAACAATGCTACTTCACATAAATTTCAGTTGAAATATTTCTATATGTCGCATTTCTATTTTAAATTTGTCTTTCACAGTATATTATTAATATCTAAATGTTTTAGTTAAAATTTATATCAAATAGGAAATAGAATGACTACATTCCAGGAATAAATGAAGCGATTTATAGTGGTGAATCGGTAATCATATCTGCGACCTAGAAATATTTATATATATTTCTGCTCAGTGTATTTTATGAAAAATTTAGAGAATTTGAAATTAAATAACGAAGTAATATACGTTTTCATTTAAATTTATTATTTGCTATGAGCCTAAATGTCAATATTTTAAAACTGTAAAGCAATTAGTAATATAGTATAATTAAAAATTTGTTTGCCATAAATCGTCTACGCCATAAACTTAACAAAACAATCTTATCTTCGCCAGTGCTAATTTAAATATATTGTATTTTTAGCATATTGCTACATACCAATGAGAAATAGTCATGGAATTGACATCGAATCGATGTCAATTTGACGTCGAAAGCATTGAATCAACGTCGATTCGACATCGATTTCATTGTCATTTCCCACTGGGATTTTACTTAATACATGTAAATATAAATTTATCATTAAAAGAAGGAAATATATAAAGAAATTGGTGTTAAAAACATTTATCTTGAATTTATGTACTAAACTTATCTACATTTCCATCAACAAATGTTCTTCTGGAAAGAAATTAGAAGCTCAACTAGTTTTTTATCCTATTCTGTTATCTTTAATATCGCGGATACTTTTGACCTTTCGATAAGTCAGTTTCGAGATAGTAACCATATTTGTCGTATATTCATAATGTTAAAGATAATGTCGTACTATTTAGAATTACATATGTAATGTCAAAGATAATAAAAAATAAATGTTCTGTATATAAATTTGGTATTAAATTATCACAATGCATGCATACACAGAGCAATGACCGGTAGTGTGTATAAAATACTAAATAGATAGCAAAACTTCAGTTTTTATTTAATTTAAAGTCTAGTTTACTTTTCATCAAAATTTTAACTTAATTATTAAATAAACTTAATTATATTAAGATAAGATTACAAGTAAATGTTAAGAGAACAAGTAAAAAATGAGAGATTTTCGATCTCTCTCGACATTTTTCTATACAAACTCGCAGAGTTAAATACAGAATTTATCGTTTATACACTGATTGCAAATCTCATTTTGTATATATTTATGTGTATCTATACATATATTGTTTTACGAACACCCTATGATATTCACCGATCTCTTTCGATCCTTTCATGAATTGCACGTCTAGGCAGAATGAAGCGTCCGCTCACATATAATGCCTCTATTGTAGTCTGTGCGTCTAAAGCTTGGATTTGCAAATAAACATGTCTCACCACATGTGGGTGTATTGAAGTTTCCAAATTTATCATTAATCATAACAGTTAAAAGACAATATGTAGTTTCAATTAGGATCGAATGTCATTACCATCTGTTGCTATTTCTATTGAGACAAAAGCACCCTTTAGTTTGGCTACTAACTGCAGCAAAGTACTGTAACATAGTCAAGAATTTACATTAAACAGAATTTCAGGCATCGACAGTTCTATAAACGAATTATAAAATAAATATTATGTAATAATCATCTTTTTTGCACATTAAATCGCTGAAATGCAACTAAAAATGCAGCTTATCGCATTCATATAAATTTATATAAATCTTTTTTTCTTACAAATTTTAACTCATCTATCAAGATGCTGATGAATTACATAAAAAGCAACTAATAGTAACATTTTTAATTTTTTAAGAATAACTAAATTTCGTACTCGTCGAGAGAAAGAGTCATTAAGATTAGTAATTAGTAAATAAACAATTTAATCGAGCCCAGTACTTAAAAATTAACAAGTTATGCGGATGATTTTGCATTATATCATAATTACTGGATGTAAAGCGTAAACTAAAATAATCCTCCGCGAGCTTTACTACGCGATACTCGTGCTATCGAGGGTCAGCTGGCGGAGCCAATAGTGGTTTCTATGTCGTGTATATGGCAAAGAGCAGAGGTCAGTAATAATATGGCGTAAATGCGAAAATCACGATGTCTGCGGAGGTTTAATTGATTGTAGTGGGTGGTATTGAAACCAGCATTAATCCTCGATAAATTGCAAATGGGTCCGCAGGATCCTCTGAAAAGTAACGGCCCTTCTCTCGAGATGAGCAGACGAGATGGTCGATCGTCAAACGCGGTCGCATCGTTTTCGCGAGATGAAGGAGAAATCGTCTCTCCCTCCTTGTATTTCTGTCACAAAACTGGCGACGAACTTCACGTTAACTCGTTGAATTCCACGTTATATTTTATAGCGGGTAACGTCGCCGGCGTCAAATACAGTGATCGATCTCCCCGAGAAACTGCCGATCTCATATAAATGCGGTAAATCTCGTAATGAAGATACTTCAACGCGGGCATGGAATACGGGGCGATAATAGGTACACATAGCGAGACTCGTTGTCGGAGAGCGCTGACCGCAGAGATAACGCTTTGACCCGTTACAAGCTCCAAGAGTACCAAATGAATGCCTTCACTGTCTCTATCTTCCTGTGGCCAATCCAAATATGCAGCCCTTTTTCTCTTCCCTGGTTGCCCTTTACAAGCCGTTTGCAACGATACTACGAATCTGCGACGGCGATCTCTTTGCTTCCCGGCACAACCGACGCCGACGCGGTGATGGCAAAGTTCCATCCATTACTAAACTCATACCATGCTACGTAGGAATCTTGTAAATTTACATTTCATTTTAAATTCTTCATCTTTTTTTATCTGAATGTAAGCCATTTAAAAGCTGGAAGACCACGCGAAATGGAAGATTTCGATAAATTGAGTTATTATATTCAGAAACGAATTGAAATTATACGCTCGTTTTTTTACACAAAACGATTATATGAAATACTAGATTTTATTAATACCTTATTACATATTTCTTTGATGACATTTTTTTATTAACACATGATTCACACATCAACACAAAAATTTTCAACGAATATCACCCTAGATTACAGTTCACTATATTGACGGAAGATGATCGACTTAATTTTTAAGAATAATATTTAATACATGATTAACCCTTACCGTACCATCTACAATTTGGTGCCTTATCCATACCATCGAGGGTTACTTCAAATCTCTTCGTTTTTTCGCCTCTTCAAAATAATTTAAAAAATCTCTAAAAATTCACTAACATACTTTCAACTTTCTAGAATAAATATTGACTCTTTATTTTGGAAAATAATAAAATGTAGTATAATTTATAATTACCGAAAGACTCAAAGAAACTTGCACGAACAAAAATCGCTCGGTCACTAGTTACCCATATTAATATAGTAAGGGTTAATATTATAAGACCATTTTTTCCTTTAAATATTTAAATTATTATCTTGCCATTCAATGTGTCAGAATTTACAGTATGATAATAAAGTAGGGTAGACCGGGGAGTAAAGGGCCACTTTTGACATTTTTTGCTATAAAATAAAGAATATTTAACTCACACAGATCGTGTTGATATTTTTCGAAA